CCACCAGGCAACTGTTTATACACATAACCACATAGCATCAGGGATTATTATAAGGAAGGCAAGAACAAAGTCACTTCCCTGTCTGTCATTAGCAAGAGATATTCAAAGAGACCACCAGAGCCAGCTGCATCAGTTACATGCTTTTGTCCAAAAGTAACAGAAAACCTGACTCTGCTTGCTTAACTTCATAAAGACGTTTATTAGCTCAGAGAACAAACAGCCCCAAGCTAGGGCAGCCTCCAGGCTCAGGATGGTCAAGAGAAGTTCAGCAACGTCATTTCACACCCATATTCTTTCCATTTCCCTATTCTGCCATTCTGGGGGTTAGTCTGCAGAAACTTTTCCTGGAATCCCCCACCATGCAGACTTGTCCTCTCATCTCATTAACCAGCACTGGTCACATGCTCAGTCTCTGGACTGACCAGCTGGCCAGTCATTCATGCAATGAGAGCTGCTGTGATCTTAGATCTTAATTTTCAACCAGAAGTTATTTTACATACTGTTGATACTACTGTCATGGTCTGAACTTATATTTTATATTGACAGATAAAACTAATAAGAAGTTACACAAGTTGGCCCTGGCTGGGTAGCTCAGTTGGTTAGAGTGTCATCCCGATCTGCCAAGGTTTTGGATTCAATCTCCAGTCAGGGCACATACAAGGACCAACCAAATGGTCCTTGGCCAGTGTGGTTCAGTTGGTTGGAGCGTCACTCCATACACTGAAAGGTCTCGGGCTTGATTCCAGGTCAGGGCAGATATCCAGGTTGCGGATTCGATCCCCCAGTGGGGTGCATATGGGAGGCAACCTATGGATGTTTCTCCCCCACATAGAATGTTTCTCTCTCTCTCCCTCTCCTTTCCTCTCTCTTTAAAATCAATAAAAACATAAACGTGTCCTCAGGTGAGGACTGGAAAAAAAAAAAGAATAAGCCAATGAATGCATAAATAAGTAGAACAAATCAATGTCTCTCTCTCTCCCTCTCTCTAAAAGTCAGTAAATTAAAAGAAAAGGAAATTACACAAGTTATAATCAGGATCTTAAAAAACTTATATAGTTCACCAAATGATGAAAGAAAAGAGTAAAATCATTTCTAGAGCAGGGGTCTGCAAATATTTTCTGTGAAGGGCCACAGAGTAAGTATTTTTGGCTTTGCATGCTATATGGTCTCCGAGGCAATTACTTAAGCTTTTTTTCTGGAAGCCAGGAAGCAGGTAGACAGCAAGCAAATGAATGGGCATGGCTGTGTGACAATAAAACTTTATGTAAAATAACAGGTGCTGGCCCTAGCCAGTTTGGCTCAGTGATTAGAGCATAGGCCCCTGTACCGAAGAGTCAAGGGTTTGATTCCCAGGCAAGGGCATGTACCAAGGTTGCAGGTTTGATCCCCAGCCCAGGTCAGGATGCTTGCCAGAGGCAACCAATAGATGTGAGAGATCTCACACCCATGTTTCTCTTCCCCACTTCTCCCCTTCCCCTCTTCCACTCTCTCTAAAAATCAATGGAAAAGATATACTCAGGTGAGGATAAACAAAAAATAAAAATAACAGGTGATAGGCTAGGTCAGGTGTAGTTACTAAGGACACCTGTTAAGGAGTATTGTTAGAGCTAAACTTTAAATAGCAATATGAGCTCATGGTCTTTAAAACTTATCAACTCTGCCCGGCCGGGTGTGGCTCAGCTGTTGAGCCATCCAGGAGATGGAAGTTCAATTCTTAGGGCACACGGCTGGGTTGTGGGCTCAATCCCCAGCAGGGGGCGTGCAGGAGGCAGCTGATCAATGACTCTCTCATCATTGATATTTCTGCTGTCTCTCCCTCTCCCTTCCTCTCTCTGAAATCAATAAAATTTTTTTTTTAAAAATCAATAAAAACATACTTAGAGGAAAAAAAAACTGTGCAATAATTGGAGAGGACTTCCCAGTGTTGAAAATACAGTCAGCAGTACTCTTTCCCACCCCAAGGAATGAGGGCTCTTTGGAACATAGGTGTTTCTGGACAAAAGAAGGTACAATATGGGTTGGAATATCTTATTGCCAGCAAACAAGGATGCTTCTTCAAGTTCTGGGGGGTGTTGAAGGCACACAGTAGCCCAGCCGAAGGTATCCCTCATCAATAATAATTACAGGTAATTAAAATTACTAGAGCCATGGCCGGGTGGCTCAGTTGGTTTGAGCATCATCTGGTACACCAAAAAGCTGCAGGTTTCAATTCCTGGTCAGAGCACATACCTAGGTTTGGGGTTCAATCCCTAGTCAGGATGCGTACAGGAGGCAACCGATCAATGTTTCTCTCTTATATCAATGTTACTCTCTCTCCCTTCCTCTCTCTAAAAATCAATAAAAACGTATCCTCCCTCAGGTGAGGATTAAAAAAAAAAAGATTCAAGTCTAAATGCCATGAATCAATAATTATCCTCAAAAAGCAGGAATCAGGATTTTCATTCTTAATTAGTCAGTAGTACTATATCCACACCTGATTTTATTTGGATGAACCATTTTTCAGCATCCCCACATAAAAAGGCTGATATCCCCTTAACCAAATGATATCTATTCAGGGTAAAAAGGCTGATATCCCCTTAACCAAATGATATCTATTCAGGGTGATTCCCAACTATATAAAAAGATTCTACTCTTTGTAAAACCCAAACGTGAAAAAAAGACAAATACACCAGTTGTTAATGCATAGTAGGACAATAAATGATATCCATTTTTTCCTATATTTTTCTGGCATTTGCAAGTTCTCACCTTTCTTTTTCTTTTTTTCTTTTTTAAAATGGGACAAGACAGCCCACTTTTTTTTTTTTTTTAAATATATCTTTATTGACTTCAGAGAGAGGAGAGGAGAGAGAGAGAGAGAAACATCAATGATGAGAGAGTCATTGATCGGCTGCAGCCCACAACCCGGGCATGTGCCCTGACCGGGAATCGCACCCCATCACCTGGATCCTAGGTCATGCTCAACCGCTGAGCCATGCCCGGCTGGGCTCACCTTTATTTTTCATATACGTATTGTATGAGGTGAGGCTGCAAGGCGTTGAGCTAGGAGGGGTGTAGGACCCATAGGGACCTGGCCCAGACTCCAGCCCTGTATATCTGTTATGTCTTGAAAGCACAGAGCACCCCACACACAGTGCAGCAGCAGTCACCCCCTTTCCCGGCTCAGTTTGCCCCCTCTGTACAAGGAGGGTCCCCTCGACTGGGCAGGCAGACCACCCAGGGCTGAGGGCTGGGGTCCTGGATCCCAGGTCTGGGGTATGGACTCTGGGGTCCAAGCTCTGGGGTTGGGTCTGGATTTGGGATTTGGGGATCTTAATCAGAGATCAGGATCTGGGGTCCAGGGACTGGGTTCAGTGTCTGGAATTGGGGTCTGATATTTGAGGTCTGGAGTCTGGGGTCCGGAGTTTGGGATCTGGAGCAAGTGGGCTGAGGTCGGACGTCTAGTATATAGGATCTGAGTTGTGGGGAATGGGGTTCAGTTTAGGATCCGAGGTCTGAGGTCTAGGACCTGGGTTCCAGGAATTGGGACCGGGGGCTGGAGTCCGAGGTCGAGGGTCGAAGTAATGGGATCTAGAAAACGGGGCCAGGGTCTGAGGTGAAAAATGTATAGATCCGGGGTGCGGGTCTGAAGTAGGAGATCTAGTGTGTGGGGTCCCAGGTCTGAGGTCTGGGATCCAGGGTCTGCGGTACGGAGCCTGGGCCGGCCCCGCCTTGCTCCCCGGTCCCTGCCTCCCTCCCTCCGTCTCCTCTCTCCCTCCACCCCCTCG